TACTGCTAAAAAGTTGTGTAAACACATTTTGGCATGCTCTTACCAGAATATCTGGTTAAAGTTACAGCTTATTATAAATTAAGAAATATTTGATGGTGGTGGTAATGCATTGAATGCAAGTCTGTGCTATTCTTTGTTCTCTGGCCAGAATTTGGAGGGACTGGTGGCTTCCTGAAATCTGATTAGCAGGTTTAGAAAGGGAGGCATTGGTATTACTGATTCTTGACTTTTTCTTTCCTTTTTTAACCAAAAATCAATATGGATAATATTAATACTATAGTGAAGGCTCAGCATTTCAGCCAAGAAAAAATCCTGGATTTCAGTGATGCAGTACAACAGCATCTTAGTAAAACAGAAATGCTACCATCAAAGCCTTCCTGATGGGGTAATCTTAATTTTTAATAAAACCAGAGATGCTAGAATGGGAATATTTTGGCACTGCATTTCAGTGAAGGGAGAAGTGCTTTTTATTTTAATAGATTGAACTTCAAATGCTGTCTTGCCTTTGAAATACCAAAGTGTGCTGTCTACTTACCTACTTCTTAAAGATGCATAAATTAGGATGAAATCCATGTGAAACTTCACAAATTTGAGGAGATTATGGCAGAGTGTCTCCTGAATTTCCGAAGGCAGTGTTAGGTGATTCTTTTTATGCTGTATCTAACATTGTTCAGTCAGAAGTTCATGTTTAGTACTTTTAATACAGCATAGATGTATTTTTGTGACATGTTTCTAGATTATTATTTGGATTAATAGATGGGGCAAGCAGCAATAGCACATACATAATTCCTAAAGTATTTTGCATATTTGGATAAATTAAGCAATAAGGAAGGCTGCTGTTGAGTCAGGTTAAGGTGCTAACTTGCTCCTGTATAAATACATTAATTTTTAAAGCCAGGTTTGCCTTCTGTTGACAATATGGAGCAAAACAACAATTTGCAGTGCACAGTCAGTGCATGTCTGGGCTATTATTGATAAGAAGATGAAAAATTGCTGTGTTGTGTTATCATTAATAGGTGTTCTTGCTTTACTATTAATTTTCAGTAAGCTTTTCCAATTGTCACATAATTGCTGAATGCTCTATTAGTTATCTCTTCGGAAGTAATGGAGTTCTACATGTTGAGAATTGAAGTGAGTGAAGCATAAGGATAATGCAGTTTATAGAATCCCTGCTAGTGTTTTGTTAAGTCAGCTTTAAATGCCTCTGTGGAGGGGGGGCTTCTTTTACTTCCCTGCAAATATGAGTTGTTGTTTTGAAGAAATCTTGTTGGAACAAAAAAAAAAGCTGTCACTATCCCTTTGTCTAGGCAAGGTGTAGTTACACACACTCTCCCAGGCAGGACCTGTGGTTCTGTAGGGTAATCAGGCACTGTAACTATTGGTTTATTCTCACATCTCTGAGGTCTGAGATTAAGAAAGGATCACAGCAGCATTTTCCAGTGCTTATAGTCAAAGTTGCTTCAGTATTCTATCAATAAACTCTCTTCTAACATTAGCGTTGGGCAGAGTTGTTACTGCATTAGGAATCAATCATTTTACAAACCCTTAAAAGCAGTTGATTTTTTTTTTTCCCCCAACACATGATGAGAAATAATTAGGAAAAAAAAAGACAAAGGTTGTTAATTTAAGATTTTTCTCCACCAAGTTTGAAGTGCAGCATTTGACATGAGTGAAATTCAATGACAGATTGTTTGTCTTGGAATTTCAAGGGCTGACATTAACTATAACCAAAACAGTTTTTGACAACGAAACAAAATTTTCACAGAGGTTTGGTTTTTCTTAACAGAATTGAAGGTTCTTAGCAACTTGAAGTGAAAGAATATTTGCTGTAATACAAGATACCGCTTCATAAGAAGAAATATATTAAAAGCTGAGCTAAAGCTGCCTTTCCATTTAAAATATGCATACCCTGTGAGGTGTAGAAACACAGAGATCTCTTCCTTCTGGCTACTTTAATTTTGTCTCCATAGCCTTGCAAATGTGGTCCAGGTGCCCTTGCAGTGAGAATCAGAAATAGGCACCATGCAAGAATCTCAGCACCATTTCAGAAAGGTAAATGCTTCCCTCTGGTCATCTTGAAGTGCACAGATGAAATTCCATCCCCCCCTTAATTTGAGGGAGAACTTTGTCATAAAATGTATTGGACCCAACCTTTCATTTGGCTTCCTTTGGTAATTTTTTTTTGATGCTGTAGGCGTTCTAAGCCTACATCTCCTTGTGTAATGAAGTAATGTAGGTAACCCAAGAATTGCAGGTAATTTGAAGCTGAAGACAGATCAACAAATGCTGGTTTCAGCAGATTGAGAATTTATTACCCTGAATAAGGAGTCGTGTCTTAAGGTGGATGGGGTCAGGTTTAGTTTACACAAGAGGTTCACAACTCAACCTGTCCTTACATCACATCTTTTGACCTAGTTCCACGAAACTGGTTCCATGATGCTTGTCAGTTTATTTGTAGGTTGACTGGGGTACAGGAAGATTACAGATCCTGTTTAAAATATGCATTGCAAGACTTGATCCACTGATGTCCAGTAGGCCACAAGATCCCCCAGGCTTCCCCAGCACAGGGCACATAAAATCAGAGTCTCAATCTTTCCGTCTGTAACACACAAGGAATTTTTCTGCCATTGTAAAGCACTTAGAGATGTCAGAGCTGTGCTGTAAGTGTAACAGACAGGGAAGTGAAACGGAAAGATTGGTGAAGCCCCAATGCTAAAATAGGATTCTCTCATCACCCCCACCTTTCTGGTTTTCCTCCTGTGCTTTGGCTTCTGCAAGAAGGGAACTCAGGAATGGGAGTTGAAAGGGAGCAGCAGAAACCACTCGTTGACCTGGACATTGAGAGCAACAGAGAGCTCTGCCCTAGGCACACCAAATTCCTCCTATGCTGTTAACATTTTTCCCCTTAATCAACACTTTACAAACAAAACTGTACAAGGAGAAGCAAGAGCTGCTTGGAAAATTTGCACTGAAGTGCCGGCAAGTTGCCTGTGGTCTGTGAGCGAGGTGTTGACCTTTATTTGGTCCAGGTGTTGAATAAGACACGGTAATTCTTGGGTACTTCTGGTGAAGAGCTGCAGTAAGGAAAGATCAGTGCTGCTCTGTGCTGAATGGTTTTAAAACAGAAGCTGAGATTCCATGTGTGGGGATTGCATCTTGTATAGAAACTGAGTGGTTCCAGTGCTCAGGGAATCCTGTGGCTTTGGATCTTTCACACCTACTTGGCAATGTACCAAAACGAAACAAAGGAAGGGTTTTTTCTGGGATTTGTGCTGCGCACTTAGCAGGACAGTCCCTTTGCTCTGCTAATCTGTCTTCATGTCCTGATTTCACTGTACCCATAACAAAGCACAAACACCGGCCACAAAATCTTTGCTAGATCAAATCTGTCAGAACTGGAAATCAGGAAGGTGGAAGTTCCCATTCAAGTGGGTGTTATAAATTCATCCTGAACCAGACTTCCAAAAACATGCTATTTTGAGGCAGCTTTGACGTTTCACTTCGAATCTTAAATATGTTTATATTTATTTCCCTAACCCCATTCATCCTTCCATTATGTTCCCATTCACTCAGTTTCCCACTGGGTTTGTAGCTATAGTTTGTGTAGTGTGTTTAGGTACTTAAAGGATCATTCAGCATGAAAATAAGGGGTGGACCTGCTAGGCAGTTTTTGTTTCCAGCAGAGCATCGCTACTGTGAAGTCCAGTCTGCAGGTCAGGACTTGGAAATCAATGCTAATTCCATTACTGTAGGGAATCTCCTTGTGGGCTGCTGTTCTGTGTCTAAGCTCAGTTGCACTTAACAAAGAGGTTCAAGGAAACAAATCAGGAGTGTGGAGGAAATGAAGGGCTATGAAGTTGGGTCAGCAGTTAAGACTGAGTAGTTTTGTCTTTGCAGCAGGGATTGCAGTGCTGGTGTGATGCTCTGCTCTCCCTGGAATGGCAGTGCTTACTGTAAATATAGAATTTGAACGATTGACTAATTTAAGGTAGATTTAAAGAGCTGTAAGAGCTGTAGTTCTTGAGATAGGTTTGCTCTTTGTTCCAAATGACTGGTAGTAATAGAAGCTATTATTAGCTGAGAAGTGAAAATGAAAGAATAGGGAGAAATAAAAAAATAAAGTGAAGAATCTAATGTCTCTAAATGTCTCCGTTTTTATGTGCATTGGGGCCAATTATGGTTATTGTATCATTGCAGTACAGATTTGAGGCTACTCCAAAAGCCCTCATTCTGCTTCTCCAGATCCAGTGTGTTTGGTTTATGTTTACAATCAGTTGTGGATTTCTTGACATCATACTACTTGTTTTAGGTGATGACTAGGTATTTCTAATATCACCAATCACCAGTCTGAATGCAACCTTAATTTCATCTTACTTTACCCATTATCTAGGAAACTAAAACACTGTGCACAGAAGTGCTTCTATATTTGTTCTGCTATTAAGTAGATTTAAGGGGTTTTAATGGAGAAGGAGCTGGCTGTGCTTGAGGCTGACCTGGTGGAAAAAAGCCCTGGGAGTGAGAAAGATGATGGATGTAAAACAGCCCCGTGGGCAAGTGGAGTGAGCCTGAGAAGTTTCTGCAGGCAGAGAAGGACAGACAGACTGACAGCAACTAGGAATACTCCCACAATAACAGAGTTGTGATTGAAACCCAGGAGGGTGAAATATCAGAACTTGAAGTTTTTTGTCCTTTAATGCTGCCTCTCTTTTCCTTGCAAGCACCTGCTCGTTGATTCTGTTGTTCCTAACGTGTTTTGAAAGTTGAAATTCCCGTTCCCAGTGGGAATTGAAGAGTCTCATTGGCAGTGGTTTGTTCTCAAATCCAACAAAGCTGTTTATTAGTGAGCGCATGTCTCTGCCACTGTGAGTCTAAAGCCAGGCAAGGTGCTCCCAAGTTGAATTTTCTCCTTACTCCAGGCACTTGGGTGGTTCCTAGAAGAAAACTTCTGAAATTGTAGTACAGAAATAGACATATAACAGTAATTTTGTAGAGCACTGTAATTGGAGTTCATGGCACTTTGTAGTCAAGATGTGTTTCACGAGTGTCATCATTATTTTGGGAAACTAAAGAAATAAAACAGAGCCTAGAGGCAAATTTCTTATCTTCACCTCGGTAGATCAGAAGAATGTTCTGCGGAGCTGACTGTCCTTCCCTGGCCCATCTCCACACAAAGGCAAAGAGCTGCTGAAGCTGATCTTTCCTGGCTGGCAACAGGGGCATTTTCGGAGTGATGTCATTTGGATCCAGGCAGGAGTGAAGCCCTGTCCTTCAGTTTCTGGAGCAAACAGAGTGCCCGGGGTGAGGGCTAAAGTCTTCGTTGTTTTCCGCTCATTAAACTAACACAATGCTAATCAGCTTTGTGGAAAGATTCGCAGTAGATAATGTTACTGTGGCACCACTGACTTATCCAGTGTGTTAGCCTGGGCCAGTTTTAACTAGGTGTTTGAAACACCTCCGTCTTTTTTGAAACCGATTTCGTTTTGCTCATTGATTACTTTCAGTTCTGTCACCATTCGAGGCAAGGAGAAGATGTATGCTAAACTCCTTGGGCTGGGACAAATCCTGTGGTACAGCTGCTGTTGTGTGCCAGCCTCTGCTGCCACCCTCTGCTGAGCTGCTGTGTCTATTTCCAGACATCGAATTACTCTTCCAGAGCTGGAAACGTCCTGTTTTGAGTTAATTCTGAATCAAACTGCACTGTTTTCTGTGCTGAATGACAAATCCATCAGTCTTTGCCTTCCCCTGGCTTGGATCTGCTCACTGCTGTGAAGAAGTTTCTGGGCCTCCAGGGAGCTTTTCTAAGCTGCATTCTGCTGTGAGCTGCCTGCTTGCTCCCTTTGTTTCTCTCTCAGACCGTGCTCCATCTTCCCGAAGTTTTTTTCCAAGCAGAGGATTCTCAGTTCCTCTGGGAGAACCAGCAGCTTCCTTGCTTTCCTCTTCCTTCTGGAGATGCCCCTCAATCCAAAGTACAGCAGCCCAAGAGCAAAGAAAGACTGCCTTCTATTCCACTACTCAGCTTCACTCAGCTTTACTTTTTTTTTTAATTTAAATATTTTAAAAATAGTTTTAGTAACATTTTATTTAATTTTTTTCCAGGAAAAAAATTGTTAGAGCTACCTTTCCAGAATCTATTAGTGGTCATGCGTTCACCCCTCGCTGACAGCTTCTGTCCAAGCTCTCTGGTAGCAAACCAATCCAAAGGTTTATCAGCTTTGGGTCCTAGGTTGTATTATGTATTTCCAGAATGTTTCCATTTAAAATTGTACATTTTTTAACTCATTTGTCACGATTCCAAGTCTGAGTGGATGTCCACTTTTAAAGCACGACTGGAATATGATGAGAATAATTGGTTTTTAAGGAGCAAGTTTTATAGAACTGTAGATGTTGTAGATTCTGCCCTAAAAAGCATTTGTTTCAAAAAAGCATATACTTCCTGTCTGTGTAGGGACACCCTCTGCCAGTGAAGGTCTCATTGTGGCAGTGAGCTCTGTTGTGTGAAACTTAGATCCAGACCAAGAGGTGCAACAAACTGCATTTCTAACACATTACCATCCTGGGGCACAGAAGGTTTTTAGTTTCTTTATGCTTTCTCTCCTTCCCCCTAGAACCTGTAATCCCAGATTTTTTTTTTTTTACATCCATTTTGGTGAAATCACAGTTAATACCTTAAAGTTCTTAAAGAGTATGAAATTTATTCTCCTCCATCTCACTCTTCAAGTCTTTTTTTATGTTTCTTTTGACTAGAATTCAGTATCCATTTTCTGGCACCAAGTTAAGCTAGTTTAAAATAATACCAATGTGTTGAGTGTCTAACAGGGGAATAAATTCATTATTGAGTTAGGACCTATTTGATTTAAATTAAATAAAATGCCTTTAAATGTAAGGATGAACAAACATGACATACCTCATACTCAGATCCATTTTATGGGGTTCACCCCATAATCCTTTTATTCAGACACGTGTGACCTCTGCGTTATCAGCAATGGGCAGCCTTACACTGCAGTAACCAGGGAATTTAAACTCCATATTTTATTCAACAAAGCCTTTTTGTGGGTATTGGATGGGATCTGTTACTCTACTTGCTTAGACTGAGGGTTCAGTGTTGCTATTTTTAATACCTGGTGTTGAACAATGGAGGAAAGAATGAATTTAAAATAGCAAACTTTGTATTTATGCTGACTAAGGGCACCATTCTGCAGAAATTTGCCTTCTGGTGAGTTTGCAATATTCTTTCAATGAACAGCACAGTTACATTTTTGGTGGAATAATAAGATTAATATGAGGACAAATATAAATATATTGACTATTGTATGTTTTGTTTTGATGGATTGGATTGTCTTGTCCATCCAGAGTAACTACAAGATTTATTTTTAATTTTTTTCACTAATGCTGGTAACTATGAGGGAGATGGAGCTTCATTCTATTTAGATGTTGAAACTGTAGTCCTGATAATACAGCTTAGTAGTCATTGACTGACTTGTCCTACACCAGTGAAATCCTTGCATGCTTTTGGGAGTACTGAGATAAACTCTGT